GATTGATTGTTATCGATGAAGTACTGTGCTTGAGTTGACAGTAACGCATACACACAGAGTCAAAGCCTCCTCTGCGCGTGGTGCACAGCACCCCATTGCATCTTGTAGTATCTGGCGCTAATTTGACAACGGGATATGAGTAAAACTATATTTTTCTTGACAAACGACAAGTCTGTTCTCTACGCGCATAATAAGATTTTATCTTTTGTTTGTATCGAGAGTATGTTAAATCATAGACGACCCGAGGACCTGAAGCAAAATCTCTCTCATGGAGGTGTTCATCACTCATGTGAATGCGCTGGTAAGACACTTCCAACAACGTCTTCACAAAAATGACTCTAGGGAGTAATCGACTGCAGCCGTGAAGCCGCGTATTCTGAGTCTCTTGAGTGTATGGATAGAAAAAATCTCTGAGGAACAGAGTTTGATAGGCCATAAATTTGGTCATAAATTTGGCCATGCTTCAGAGAGAGCAGCAGTGCGTGGCGATACCAATCCTCAATCGCGGGCACCGCATGAATCGGCTCATAGATCCTTATCCTCTATAAAAGTATGATTGTCACTCGAGAGCTGCTAAAATAGTAACTGTTGCACGTATTGGCGCGCCAACCGGCCTTCTGTCCACGATCGAAATTCTCGTCTACCCTATAAGAAAAATAACAATTGACGGACTCTGTCCAAGAGTTAAGAGCTTTTTTTGGCCGAGCTGACGGCAAACCGTCCTTAGCAAACGGTTGCGATTACCTACCTTCATGGAAGGCCTCGATCAGTCGAAGCTTGCATCGCGATCTTCTACGTCTACCTAGTTTCTAATCAGGATGTGGTGGATTGTGTATCAAATGCGGAGCGCCGCGTTTGTTGTCATGAGGGTCGACTAAAGTGGGGGGGTGAAGGCTATACAAGCACACCATATATGATAAGCTCCAGCCAAACTAAGTAAAAAGGCATTCTATGTTGTTGCATACGCTACATCTTCGGAAGTATTGAATTGTAGAGCCATCTGTACCCTTTTTATCAATTGATATTTACGAAAGGTCATCAGATCAACTGACAAACGCTTTGTTAAATCGTCGTATTACAGGGTGGCCTACCGGAAAATAATTGGGCTCTATGGTATGTCATAGAAAGCGAGGTCAATAAGACTTGGCCCTAAATAGTGCCTCTATTTATGATAGGGGTCTGACAGTTCGGGGCTGCGGAGCGCTCCAGGCTTTGCAAGCCATGGAAAATCCGACTACATTGTACGCGGAGGCATTAAAGCTGCAAAACTTCCACACTTCTTATGACAAAGACACAATGTGGAAGTGTTAAAAGTTGTGCAAACCTTCTTGTTAGATATGGTAGTTTGTACAGAGCAGAGCACTGTCGCATCCCCGTTCCCCAAAATACTCTCTCGTCCTAGGTATAGCGCTGCTTGACCGCTACGAGTCGTGGGTCGACTAAAGGTCGAAAATAGTATTCAACAAGCATTTCACAAAGCAAAGCCATTTTAAATAATCAACAAATCTTGTCAAGAGGAGCTTTTGTCGCGGGTATGATGCTGCAGTAGATTTAACAGAGGGTAAATAATCGCTTGCATTAGCCGTAAGCAAAACTCAAAAGATAGAAGCGGCGGTAGGCAGTGGATAAGTAGCAATTGCATATTGCGGTATTCAGATGAGAAGGGCGAATCGCAGTTTCCGGTGGGTATTAAAAAAAGTGCAGCTATTAGGTGACCTCCAGAGATCATAGTACGCGGTTCAGATAAAAAAATGTTTGCATTGCGGTTCAGATAATATAGTGTTTGCATTGCGGTTCAGATAATATAGTGTTTGCATTGCGGTCCCAGCTCTAATCTCGTGGAGTCAAGTCAGAGCTGCCTAGTGCCGCGATCATTAAGGCAAGTTAGAAGACCATAATTTGCGAGTCGACCCTAGTCCCTGATGTTACAATCTTTTTAACGATGATAACTTTTCACTGAGATAGCAGCACACCGTGCGACGCAACTGCAACCAGGAACAGTAGAGCACCACTAAATTGTGACGAAATCGTTTGGGTGGTGAATGATGCGACCGATTTATGAAATTCTTTCTTCATTACCTGCGTCAAAATCCTTGTTGAGGTTAAAGATCCACCCTCGGATGATGTGTAAGTGACAAAGTCTACACGCATAAAGTTATCTTAATGTAGTAACATCCCCACGCAAACTCGAATTCAACTAGAGTCAAGCTGTAGAACAGCATGTCTGGTAGAACCTTGCTCAATAGCCCTGACCTAATTAAAAAATACTGTAACAGGAACTGCCTGTCTGTGTACACACTTTCTGAGGTAACTAAACAGGCCCCACCGCGTGTTGGGTCGCCCCCAGAGAGCCGTTGACTTGCGTAGAGAGAAGAACAAGTGAAGCGACATTTATTATCATGACCAGTTTGCTTTTAGCCGCTCTAACCTAACAAGCACTTTTATTTCTGAGACAGCAAAACTAAAAGAGGATATAGTACATTTAGGATGCACAGTTAAACCAAGTTCGTGGTCCACGTAACACGTGTGATGAAACCAGGGCCATTACTTCACCCCACTCAAAGTGGGTTTACCCAGATTTTTCAGACGCTCTCCGACTCTTCCTCAAAATCCTCTTCCGTTCTTCGTCACACTCTGTCTGACTCCTGCTAGAGTGACAGCCCCGCACGCTTGCTCCTCATGGTATCTTCGCCACCATCAAACTTGTATATTGCTCCAATATCAAGTTATTCAGCGTATTTGTGCTACCGTGAACTTCATTGCCACTATGAATTTGACTATAGACGTGATGTACATACCCTGAATATCGTTGCAACCGTGCACGCAGTCGTTAACCTCTTGTCCGAGTTTCCAAACCCCCCGAGAACCTGTAGAAGATTACCCACATATCATCACCCGCGAACGCGGCGCGGATCAATCCGTCACGGACGACGTCACTGTCGTGATATGAGCAAGCTCATAATCTGGTTGATGTGACAACGCATCAACCAAAGTTTCTGGTTTAATTAACCTTCATCGCAAAAAATTATTTGTCGTTAAGTGGATAGCTCCTCCCTGCAGCCTTTGAGTGCCGAGATTCGAACGAGATCACCCGATTTCGCCTCTCGGCGTCTGCCTGAAGCAGTGCAA